ATTATTTCCTTATTGAAGGCTGAGTTTCTCATGACTGATTTGGGTTGTCTTAGTTATTTCTTGGGCATTACAGCTCAGTTTAATTCTGATGGTTTGTTTCTCTCTCAGACTCAATATGTCCGTGATTTACTTGACAAGAGTGGTATGGTTGATTGCAAAGCAGTTTCCACTCCTTTAACACCTAAGCACAAACTTCAAGCTAATGACAGTCCATTATGTTCAGATGCTTCTCTTTATCGTAGCTTGGTGGGAGCCTTACAGTATTTGACCTTTACTCGGCCTGACATTGCCTTTGCAGTAAATCAGGTATGTCAATATATGCATGTACCTACTGAGAATCATTTTCTTGCTGTGAAGCGTATTTTACGCTATTTGAAAGGTACCATGCACCATGGCCTACAATTATATCATGACTCTTTACCCTCTCTAAATGCCTTTACGGATGCTGATTGGGCTGGTTGTTTGGATACACGGCGTTCTACTTCTGGGTTTTGTCTGTTCTATGGTCGTTCTCTTATTTCCTGGTCTTCCAAGAAGCAATCTACTGTTGCTCGTTCTCGTGCTGAGGCGGAATATCGAGCCCTTGCCAATGCTGTTGCTGAAGTTCTTTGGGTAAAACAATTATTGGCTGAATTGCATCTTTTTCTTCCATCTGCACCTACTGTCTTTTGTGACAATCTTAGTGCTATTTATATGACACTCAATCCCATTCAACATCAACGAACCAAGCATATTGAGATTGACATTCATTTTGTTCGAGAAAAAGTGGCTTCTCGCATTGTTACACTTCAGCATGTTTCTTCCTCTTTCCAGCGTGCTGACATACTTACCAAGGCTCTCTCTGCACCAGCTTTTTGCTCTCAACGATCCAATTTGAGTGTGGTCTGCAACCCTGCTCAAATTGCGGGGGGATGATAGTGTACATATTAATATTGTATGTGAGGGTAGTCTAGTCTTTACACAAATACATGTGTATATATATACTGTAACCCTATTTCAGTATCAATGAGAACGACTATTGTCTTCACTCCCGAACCCACGGCATGGTCCTTATGGTAATGATCAGAAAATTATGGCAGCTTTATACCTTCAAGTGAGTATTGTGAGCCAGGCCCTTATTTTTGTGACACGATCCCCAAGCTGGTCCTATGTTGAACGCCCCAGACTTCTGTTAGTCATTGCTTTTATAGTTGCTCAGCTGGTAAGACTTCATATCCGTAACCCTTCCAAATTTTTGGAACTATTATTTGGTTATGAGGTTTCTGCAACTCCTCCATCCCCTTTTTCTTGTTATTCATTTCTGAGGCTGACGTGAGATTCCCGTTCTGAAATTTTCTTAGTAAAATCTTCCCATATCAAATTTGAAATTTTCTTACTAAAATCTTCTAATATCTAATTTGATATGGTTTTTATTTTATTTCTTGTCTCTGTTTTCTTCTTTATTAACACAAAATATTGAAATACTTTTGTCAACAATTTTCCACTTGTCAGGTGGCAACACTGATTGCAGTCTATGCAAATTGGGATTTTGCTAAAATAAAAGATATTGGCTGGAGACAGGCAGGAGTGATCTGGCTTTATTGTGTTGTGACTTATTTCCCTCTCATTCTTCTCAAGTTTGCCATTCAGTATCTCTGTTTCTTCAAACAGGTTTTTTGATACTTAACACGAGGAGCTATTTTGAGCAACGCATGCTTTTTAATTGGGCCACGTAAGCTGGAGTTGCCTTGAAGTAAGTAATATCTGTTAAAAAAAAAAAAGAACAAGAAGAAAGAACCAAGACGCATTTCCAACCAAAAACAGAACATAATTTAGGTCACGTCCACATCATCCCCATGTCGGTAATCGCACCACGTTGTGAGGCCATTTCTTGCCATCCAGAAGCTTTTTGCTATACCTAAAACTGTGTTACAAGGTGAATTATATGCAGTTCACCCTATAAAATTAATTAAATACCTTTAAAATATAATACAAAAACAAATTTAATGAAATTTAAGTAATTTTACAGGGCGAGCTTCAGTCGGTCCGTCCTGTAAAACAGTTTTCTGTCTGTAAATACTGTCATTTCAGTTCCACCAATCATAATAGCTCACGGTCTGAGTTCGGAATTCTCTCTCTATAGGCGGTTCCTGATGGCGGAGAAAAGCAAGATTCTGGTCATCGGCGGCACAGGATACATCGGAAAATTCATAGTGGAGGCCGCCGCCAAGTCTGGTCACCCCACATATCTTCTCGTTAGAGAAGCCACTCTCTCTAACCCCGCAAAATCCAACATAATCGAGAACTTAAAAAACTCAGGGGTCAAATTCGTCATCGTGCGTAATCATCATCATCATCTTCGATTTTTTGTTTCTCTGTTTGTGTTGATTCTATTTCTTTCTTTCATCAAATTAGATTGAACTGTTTGTTAGTCCAGAAATCGGATCTGTTGGTGTTGATTTGTTTGTTCTGTTTGGCTGAACAGAAAATTCTCTCATTTTCTTGTTATGCAGGGAGATATTTATGATCACCAGAGTTTGGTGAAGGCTATAAAAGAGGTGGATGTGGTGATTTCAACAGTAGGACATGGTCAGTTGGCGGATCAGGATAAGATCATTTCTGCCATTAAAGAAGCTGGTAATGTTAAGGTAATTACTAATTTTGCGCTTTGAATCTTAGATTCTCCATTTCTACTGTTTGAAGAAACATGATTCCATTTTTTTTTTATAACACGAGGAGCTATTTTGGTTCTACCATATATTGTCAACTTCACATAACATCTTTGCTGAGATTTCAGTTTCTCTGTTTCTGTTATGTGCTGTTATCTTCTAATTTCATATCTGCTATTCTAACTTCCATTACAGCTCGCCTTCACTACAAAAAACCTTTTCAGTGACAACAACAGTTATAGGGAACTCTCAGAGATTGCAGAGGAGACTAAACACCGGGCTGAGGTTATCAGGTAAGTGAACTATGTTACAGAGAAAAATTACCACAACGTGCATTGAAACCAAAGAAGAAAAACTCATGAATGTGGCATTTTTGTTTCTAATGGAAAAACTCATGAATGTAGCATTTTTGTTTCTAATGGAATCTTTAGGAATCTGATTCGAGAATGGGAATATATTTTCTTATAACTTTAACTGGAAAATTCTTGCTTTTTATCTCTCAAGGAATAGGTGTGGTTACTTAAAAATGGTGATTTTTGCAGGCCGAGGGAGCTTACACTCAAGGAACATGTTGAATCAGTTGTTAAGCTGAGGGGACTTGACATTGATACGGTAGCCTTTGATGCATCCACAGTGGAGAATTTTCTGCAAGAGTGGGACAAGGAGAAGCCGGTGAGATGCACTGCTCAGCAGCTGGATGACTTTACAAGCAATTACTCAAAAAGGTTGGGGTCTGGAGCATATGGGGATGTTTATGAAGGGCAGTTTCCAAATGGAGTCAAGATTGCAGTGAAGTTGCTCAAGGAAAAATACGAGGGAGCAGCAAAAAAGCAGTTCATGGCAGAGATAGGCACACTTGGAAGAACACACCACATTAATTTGGTTAGACTTTATGGTTTTTGCTATGATGGAAATACAAGTGCGCTTGTATATGAATTCATGGAAAATGGATCGCTTGATAATTACTTGTTTGGGAAGAAGGAGATGATTGAGTGGGAAAAATTACATGTAATAGCGGTGGGGATAGCCAAAGGAATTGCTTATTTGCATCAAGACTGTCAACAGAGAATTATTCACTATGATATAAAGCCAGCCAATATTCTACTTGATGCGAACTTCCTCCCTAAAGTTTCAGATTTTGGGCTTGCAAAGCTTTGCAACAGGGACAGCACTCATGATTCAGTTACCGGATTCAAGGGAACCCTTGGTTACTCTGCCCCGGATTTTTTTCTGAGAAATCCCATAACTTACAAATGTGATGTGTATAGTTTTGGAATGTTGTTGTTTGAGATAGTTGGGATGAGGAAAAACAAGGTTAGTAGTTCCTCTGAAAGCCTAGATTGGTTTCCGAAAGTTGTGTTGGATAAGTACCAGAAGGGTGAATTGGCTGAACTAATAATAAGTTGTGGGATTAAAAAGGAGGATATGGAAAAGGCAGAGAGAATGTCATTAGTGGCATTGTGGTGTGTTCAAGACTCGCCAGGAGCTAGGCCACCAATGAATGCCGTGGTAAAGATGCTGGAAGGAGGAGTGGAGATCATGCCACCTCCTAAACCCACTCATTTTCTGTTCTCATCATTTGGGACAAGTGCAGTCAAGCCACCAAATGCTGCCACTGGTTCGAGCTCCTCCTCGAGTGAAGAATCCGCTTCTTATTGGTATAAAGAGAGTCAAGAGACCACTTCAATCATGACCAAGTATGAAATATAAGTGGCCATTAGTTAACAAGACTAAAATCCTGTTTCCAGAAAGTTTATGTTTTGTCTTGATTTTTGTTATTATAAAGTTTCTCGTCTTCTTTTAGAATTTTAAATTTCATTCGATCGTATAAGGAACCAAGGTAGATTCTTTTCTTCAATTTACCACAACCAAGAACAGGTAAAGACCTGAAAACACAGACAGAAACTAGGTGAAGTTGCCAACAGTATTTTTGTTTACAAAGACATTCATAGAATTTGAGCTAAGAAATTGGAAGCCTCAGATCTTCCAGGTACTGAATGCAGCAACAATTCTAGAAGGATTCCAGGGCAATGTGAGGCAGTCATTTCCCGTGGACACAAAATTACAAAGAGAATAACTTAGATAATTTTATCCATTACACAATTCCATCCTAATGGCTAGTCCCAATTTTTCATTCTAAAATAGGAGCAATTGCTAAATAAAAAATATAGCGGTAATTTTGTTATGAAAAAAAAAAGAGATTTTAAGTTTCAATAACATATATACAAATAAAATTAGTGATTTATTAATTTAAAAAATAAAAAATAATTGATTCTAATTGTGTAATCTATCATTAAATAAAAAAATAATAGTAGTAATGCATCGAGTTAACAAAAATATACTATGGCCAAAAATAATAATAATAATAAACGCAAACCAAAAAAATGCTTAAAAAAAAAAAAGGAACAAAGGAGAACACCATAGATCACCGAACTCTGGTAGCTAATCCTTTCCTCTCCATTTCTCTGTTTCCTTGATTCTCCATGTGGCCCTTTCAGCACCTCGCCGGGGACAAGAGCTCCGATCTGGAGGTAAAATGGTGGGGCCCAGGAGGACTACGCTCACCGCCAGGACACCCTATGAGTGACCAAGTTTGGTCAAATGATGTCTGGCCACTTCACCCAGATGTTGAACGGCACCATAGCCATTGGTAAGTTCTTACTCTCTATTAAAACAGTTTGACTGACAACTATCCTTCCAAACTGATAATAATGTCATTACTTGTGTTAATTGTTGGCAGCGGCAGTTGCGAACTTGGTATTTTTGGGATCATTGTTGCAGTCTGTTGGTACTGTGTAAAGAAATTGAGGAAAGCATTACCTGAGATACTCAGTGAAGTGAAGACAGCAACTGTTACTACGTCGAGACAGCCGCAGCATGTGGTTCCAATTTGGGAGGTTGATGCGCCCACCATGGGGAAATTTTTGCAAGAGTTTGCCAAGGATAAGCCGGTGAGATTCACTGCTCAGCAGCTCTGTGCCTTTACAGGCAATCACTCAACCAGGTTGGGATCTGGAGGATTTGGGGTTGTTTACAGAGGGCAGTTTCCCAACGGAGTGAAGATTGCAGTGAAGGTGCTCGAGAAAGGTTCTGAGACAGCAGCAGGGGAGCAGTTCATGGCAGAGGTAGGCACAATCGGAAAAACATACCATATTAATTTGGTTAGACTTTATGGTTTTTGCTATGATCAATATATGAGTGCGCTTGTATATGAATTCATGGAAAATGGATCGCTTGATAAATACTTGTTTGGGGAGAAGGAGATGACTGGGTGGGAAAAATTACATGAAATAGCGGTAGGGACAGCCAAAGGGATTGCCTACTTGCACGAAGAATGTCAATAGAGAATCATTCACTCTGATGTAAAGCCTGGAAATGTGCTGCTTGATGAAAAATTCTTCCCTAAAGTTGCTGAATTTGGGCTTGCAACGCTCTGCAACAGAGATAGTACTCACGTTTCAATCACTGGATACAGGGGAACCCCGGGTTACTCTGCCCCGCAATTCTTACTTAGGAATCATCCCATAACATACAACTATGATGTGTATAGTTTTGGAATGGTTTTGTTTGAGATAGCTGGGAGGAGGAAAAACACGGTTATTAGTTACTCTGAAAGCCTTGATTGGTTTCCAAAGCATGTGTGGGAAAAGTACGAGAAGGGGGAATTGACTGAAATGACAGTAGATTGTGGGATTGAAGAGAAGGATAGGGAAAAAACAGAGAGAATGTCCGTGATTGCATTGTGGTGTGTTCAAGACTCACCAGAGGCTAGGCCACCAATGAATGCGGTGGTGAAGATGCTGGCAGGAGGAGTGGAGATCAAGCCGCCTCCTAAACCTTTTCATTATCTATTCTCAGTAGTCAGTAGGGATGAATGCAGTCAAGCCAACTGCTGGTTCAAGTTTCTCCTTAAGTGAAGAATCCAATTCTTATTGGTATAAAGAGACTACACCCATCATGACCAAGTATGAAATCCAAATAGCTAGTAGTTAAGAATACTAGTAAAATCTAGTTTTTAGAAAGTGTATGTTTTGTTTTATTTATTTATTCATTTATTTTTTGGAGCAGTAAAGGTAGTTTATTATTGTCCAGATTATAAGGGTTAATTTGTTGTTATGATGTAGTGTATTATGAAGTTTCTCATTTGTTGTCTAGCTCACAAAATTCTAAATTTCATTTAATTTCTTGATACAATGCTACAGAAGATAAAGCTGCAACCTCCAACATCTCTTGTTATGATTGCCTAGGTTGTTGCCTATGTGTAATTCAGTATAATTCGATCATACCAGGAACCAAAGATAAAATATTTTCTTTAACTTAATTTGTCCTTTCCTGTTAGTCTACTTGTGGAAAGGCATTCCTTTATCTAGACGTGTAAGGAAAAGTCTGTATTACACATGCATGTTGCTTAATCCAAGGAAATGTGCTTGATTTTAGGAATCATCTAGTCATTGTATATTTGTTGCAATTGTTTGTGTCCTTGCTCGGACAAGTCAGCCGCAACATGCAGTTCAAGTTTGGGAGGTTGTTGCACGTGCCGAAGCTCTTTGCCTTTACCAGCAATTACTCTATCAGGTCCGGGTCTGGAGCATCTAGGGTTGTTTATAGAGGGCAGTTTCCCTATGGAGTCAAGATTGCAGTGAAGGTGCTCGAGAAAAGTTTTAAGAGAGTAGCAACGAAGGAGGATGCAATGAAACTTTGAGATCGTAGCAGTGCCAATCGGACTACTGTAATGAAGCCTTTCTTTTGAATCCTCATTGAATTCCTTCTTACATGCGTTGCAAGTTAACCCCGACATTCTTCCTAGTTTGTTTTCCAATTAAATCTCAAAAATTGCGTAAATTCAAAGAAACCTATTGTTTACACCATAAATTGTAAATATATTTAATGATGATATGTGTCATATTATTTGAACAAATAGTTATGATTAAGTCACATTAGACATCATATTACTATGATCTAGAGTATGACAGACTTTACTGATGATTGCACATGTTCAATTAGATTTGGTGTTTTCTATAGTTATCTCATATTTATCTAGTGGTATTTAACATTAGTGGAGATCGTGGGTAGATTTTAAGAGAAGTCACAAACCAAGTTCAGCAAGCAGGTAAGGTGGCAAACAAGTGGTAAGTTCTGGAGAAGGGTTTAACCAAGTTTGTTGCTTAGTTGTCTAACTATCTTAGAAAGTTTGCTGTGTTTTGCACAAATGGAAATGGGTAATAGATAAAAGTACGTGGTTACCATCTACCTTAAAACATAAAAAAAAAAAAAAAAATTTAGAATAAACAAGATACAACTAATCTTATATACAACTCAACAAATTCAACTTTCTAATTTCCTAGGTATTGTTTACGTAGCTCACAGATCTTAGTTTTAATACAACTATTAGTCAAATTTAAGTTAGTTCTATCTTCTATAATAATTTATTTGTTTATTTAGTGATTTTCATATAAGTGTCATTCCCTCATGTCAACTTATAGCTTTTAAGTCTCTTATTCATATTTATGTTAATTTCAATCTGTTTTGCCTACTCATCTTGATAACTTAGTTTTATTCTAGTTTCAAGTCCATTTACATTTTTTTAGTTCTGTAATGATTTAGTTTAATCTATTAATAGTTTTGGTAGTTAAATCTTTTGGTACATTTAGATGTAGGCTCATTTGTTTTACTCATTTTAGTTATTGTGAATCTTTAAACTTTTACTTAATAGTGATATTTTAAAAGTTTTAGAATTATCTAAGATAGATCAATAATCTATTCTATAAAAAAGCATTCTTCCATTTTACAAATCATTTAAAGGTATAAAACTCAATTTTAAAGTAACATTTTTTCAACTATTCTAATAGAAATCAACTACGTAAAAGAAAAAAATTGTGAAAAAACCCCACCTTCTCACTTTATAATAAAGTGGCTAGTTTGACATCCAAATATCCCACACGTGACGCCGCTTGAAGGTTTTTGTGAAAACACCTACATAGATTTTAGTTTATAGGGAATATGAGATTGTGGGGTCAGTCCTGAGAGGAGGTTTATGACTGGCGGCTCGAACTCGGTCAAACAGTGCAACCTGGGCTGTTTTCTTTACACAACTCTTGCATGACTTGGGCCAAACGGGCTT